AATATGTGTACACAAAGTAAAGTATGTATTACAACACAATATGTACACTAATATGTGTACACAAAGTAAAGTATGTATTACAACAGGTACAGTAATACGTGTAGACAAACTAAAGAGTGTATTACAACAGGTACAGTAATATGTGTACACAAATTAAAGAAGGTATTACAACAGGTAAAGTAATACGTGTAGACAAACCAATGAATGTATTACAACAGGTACAGTAATACATGTAGACAAACCAAAGAATGTATTACAACAGGTACAGTAATACGTGTAGACAAACTACAGAATGTATTACAACAGGTACGGCAATATGTGTACACAAGCTAAAGGATGTATTACAACAGGTATAGCAATACGTGTACACAAACTAAAGATTGTATTACAACAGGTATAGCAATACGTGTACACAAGGTAAAGGATGTATTACAACAGGTATAGCAATACGTGTACACAAACTAAAGATTGTATTACAACAGGTACAGTAATACGCGTAGACAAACCAAAAAATGTATTGCAACAGGTAGAGCAATACGTGTACACAAGCTAAAGGATGTATTACAACAGGTACAGTAATACGTGTACACAAACTAAAGAATGTATTACAACAGGTACAGCAACACGTGTACACAAACTAAAAAATGTATTACAACAGGTTCTGTAATACGTGTACACAAACTAAAGAATGTATTACAACAGGTACGGTAATACGTGTAGACAAACTAAAGAATGTATTACAAGAGGTACAGTAATACGTGTAGACAAACTAAAGATTGTATTACAACAGGTACAGCAATACGTGTACACAAACTAAAATATATATCACATCACAAAAAAGACAAAAAGTTTCATCCAGAACAGACCTCATTAGAAAACAATTAATGTTCTAGTAAACCTAAATCCTCTGTCTATGTATCTAGTTTTTTATTAGACAACTGCATGTTGTGAATTTTGAAGTTGTGTAGAGCTAAAGATGGTGTAGCTTTTCATTATATATATATATTAGGTATTGACGAAATCTGTATGTCTAATGTATCTGTTTGATATCGCATCTATTTACTGTTCAGCCAACTTGTTCATTTCTGGACATCGACTTGACTAGCTCTGGTATTGGAAAGTCTGGGTGGTAATAGCTTACAACACCAGTCTGACTAGCTCTGGTATTGGAAAGTCTGGGTGGTAATAGCTTACAACACCAGTCTGACTAGCTCTGGTATTGGAAAGTCTGGGTGGTAATAGCTTACGACAACGGCTGTGGGGCATGGGTGCAGAGTTCAGTTATGCCCCCTATAAATTAGAAGTGCTTTTTGGTTTATGAAGCGCACACAATAAAAACATTTCAAATTGTATTACTAGAAATTTCTAGAAGACTCTGAGACGTAGGCTACTGTGGCTAGAGCAAGACAGACTATCTTTTGTTTAGAAAGTGCGCAGAATAAAAGCATTCTAATAAAAATAATTTCAATTTTGTAAAAGTGGGTAGAAAATAAAAGATAAAATTATAACCCAAAATTGGAAAAACAATGAATAAAAAAGAAAAACGTGGTTATGGGAATGCATCGTCTTTCTTTTGCTCAACGTTGGAAAGAGAAAGATGCAGATTTGAATAACCAAAATGAAGATCCTCTTACATTTTTGCAAAACAACCCATTAAAAAGAGAGTGAAAATGCTATTGTTAGAATGAGTCAAGAGACAACTGCTGCAAAAGTAAAAAACCCATGACTACAATTCACTGTTATGGTGTCTCAAAAACTGACAAAAGTTTTTTTTCCTCTTTAGAACTGTCTTAATCATGCCAGATAATCTACTGACTTTTTATGTTGACTTGAAAGTTTAACGTTTTCCTTCATTTCGCTGAACCAGTGGTTAAAACGCCGGACTGTGAATCTACAGGTTCATATCCTTTATTTCGTTGAACATGTGGTTAAAACGCCAGACTGTGGATCTACAGGTTCATTGTTCACGTTCCATTGCAAAAAATAAATAAAAAATGCTATTCGCACTCTGGAGTTTGGAGCATGTTATAACGATGACGGTCAAATCCCACTAATCGGTATGACAAGAGTAGTCCAAAACTTTTTGAATACTTACCTTCCCCCCTAGTCTATCAATTCAAAATTAGGGACGAAAATCCCTTGAGTAACTTTGTGCGAACATCCCATAAATGAACAAACAGACCAGTTTTATTCCATTTGACAATAGTGAAAAGTAACATGTACCGAAAATCTTGGAGCAAAACCAAAAAAGATAAAAAAACAGAATGGTACGTGATGAACCCATTCTTCTAGTACTTCTCCATTAACAAGCTGTCGTGTGTAATAATTTGTTGTGAATGTTTTACCCTTGTCATCCTTCGAAAATTAAAATGTCTGCACTAGTATTGCAGCACATTTGGGTCGATTTTTGGCCATTTAGCTGGATTAACCAAATCAAATACAAATGAATTTTTACTTTCTGTCAGCGGATTGTCTTCTCCCATCTGTGAAGGTGTTGTCTTCTGCAATGAAGATCAAAGCGTTCCAGATGTGTTTAAAAAATGTAACGTTTTACTGCCCCATACCTGTTACTCAATGGTTTCACAGTGAACAGGGGAGACATGTTGCAGCAATACACTCCAGCGATAAGTTGAAGCACAAACGTAGAAGTAGAGGCTTTGAATCATGTCGAAGAGCGTTTCTTTCTCGGTGCAACAGTTAGCTGCATCGTTCAACACGAGATTCAGAGACTTTGAAAAGTTTATTATGACTTCCACGTATCACGACAACAACTATTATAATTATAACTCCTAATGCTCCTTCTGTTTAATCAGAAACAGATTTTCCGTGTTAATTGTTTTGCTCATTTTCACTTGAAATTCTAAATCTTTCCATTGATGAAATACTTACTATCAAGATGCTAAGTTCCAAACTTTTGGCTAGTATTGTGGTATGAGATACACCATGATATAAACAAGACTAGTTGGACTGGTAACAGTTTCGACTGCGCATTAAAACAACTCAACAATTGGATTTGAAGCAGGCAGTGTGTGATTTGTTGTCCTCAATGAAAGCAAGTAAAGTGAGATACCTGTAATTGGGAAATATTGAACTGGTATGGTAGGTACTCTGACATTGCTTTAGGCTTTGATAAATAAATGTGATTTGTATTCATATAGAATTTGTTATGCAGTTGTACGTGAAACAAGCAGAGAGAGGGTTTTTTTGTTGTTGTTTTTTTTGCGCCAAGCTACAAACTGTCCAACATCGAGAATCGAATCCAAGATTTTGCATTGTAAGTCGATAAACTTATCGTTGACTCACCGAGGGAGAGGGCGGTAAATTGAAGACTTGATCTAAGGCGGCTAATTACTTAGCGCTGGGCCCGCTTTCCCCACATTATTGTAATTTATGACATGTGTAGTTTGTGTATTTGTCATCGAATGTAAAGTGCATTTTTTTGTTTAACTTATCTAAGACAGTCCTTTCAGTGTGCGTTTCGAATTTTGCAGAGTGTGGACTACAGTTCATACACTGGATATAGCCAAACAGGATACCCATACTATCCTAACCAGGGCTATGGGGCATATCTACCGGCTGTAAACGGCAAATCGTCATTGGGGTTCACTGGAGCTTCTTCTGGAACATATCAGCTTTCACCTCTTCCTGCCCTTTTAAACGGAGGTTCGTATAAAATAGCTATATTGTTGTTGTGACTTGAGATGGCGTTATCTTAATCCCAGTCTAGTACATGGATGAAAAAATCCTACTAAAGTTAACAGTTTAACATTCCAGTTTTAGTAAGTCAAACATTGTTGGAAATACTAACCTTCGTGTCAGCTACTGCCTTCTGGCTAACATTCTGATGATAAGTAATCTTCTTGACAAGTATTGTTTTATAATCGCGAAGCGCATGTTGAATATATCATGATCTTCAATTAAACGTGGCTAACAATGATGTGTTATACAATAGTCCTAAATGTCTCTCTGTTCGTTCGCTTATACAGTTATAAATCTAGGACAGAGATCATACCTGATATGGAGTTATGTATTTTATTTATGTTATTTTTGGAGGATTCATGCTGTTCTGAGCTTATCTTGGTTGTTTGTTTTTAACTTCGCGCAAAGCTACTCGAAGGCCATCTGTGGTAGCCGTCCCTAATTTAACAGTGATAGACTGGAGTGCAGGCAGCTAGTCAACACCATCCAACGCCAACTCTAAGGCTACTCTTTTACGACGAATAGTGGAATTGACCGTTACATTGTAACCCCCACACCGGTGACGGAGATTCGAACCCACGACCCACAAAATTCGTGTCGAGGGCCCTAACAATCAGGCTATGACAGGCTGCTTATTTTTATATCTTCATAGAACACTCTTCGCTCTATTACAATATAGTTACCCATCAAAATAAAGACTTATACAATTTCGTGTACATTTTTCTCATTAATAGAAACGAACTTGAAAAATGCACTTGGAAAAACATTGAGTATAATATCTTACGTTTCTTATGCCAGTTTGTTTTAGTAAAGTTGCTTTGACAGTTATTGTTTAAACTGTCGTGCTTTGGATTGTAAAAACACTTATTTAACGTGTAATGATAACTAAAAACTTGCCTAGTACAAGAGCATCTCCAACCTTTAATGATTTGTTACTTGAAATACAACAAGCAGACGATAAACAGACCGAAAATACAGATGCTAAGCTACGTTACTCGGTGTATAGGAGAGGATATACAAATGATGCCATTCGACATTTGAAGCTTACTAATAGATTAATTCTGACGTATGAAGTATCTCCACTCCTATGGGGTCACGTTTTCACTGGTACCTGTTCCTCTAGGGCACATTTACTGTTTCCATTTTGTGCCGTGGCTTTACTTTTCTGTATCATTGTGCAAAAACGTCTGTTTTATATTGTTGCATTTATAAACAACAACAACAACAACATTGTGGTTATGAATCTAAAAACTGATGAAAATATCTACGGCTTTATTAACTTGTGTGTTGAGACGCATTGGTTCCATACGAGGTTTCACTGGAACTTCTCTCTAGCTGTAACAACTTTCTCCCCGTTTTGCATCAACTTCTAGAGCATATTTCTGTTTTATAGGTGCCAATACAGTGACAGTGACGCATTGGTTCCATACGAGGTTTCACTGGAACTTCTCTCTAGCTGTAACAACTTTCTCCCCGTTTTGCATCTACTACTAGAGCATATTTCTGTTTTATAGGTGCCAATACAGTGACATACCCAATTTATAAAATATGTTTAACAGTATTCTAAATTTGTGTATACATAAAAATACCTATACCTCAATAAACTCTAGACCTTGTAAGTTGTAGCATTATTCCCATACGGTACAATATAATGTTTGGAGGTGAACGGCACTAACATTCGTATCTGTTACCTAGTTCTTCTGTTTGTTATAGAAACCTTGCAGTACACTGAAAATGGATGTTCTCCTAACAAAGTGGACGCATCAAGTGTTAGTAAGAAAAGTAAGTATTCATGTACGAAATAAACAGTCTTTCAAAGACTGTTCTGTCACTTATATTTTGATAAAGCTTACTATATTACCCCACGGGTGTACAAGCACCTCACTTCCTTAAACTTTACACCGTATGTGTATCCATACCGTTACTATTTAAAAACAGGTGTACAAACACCTCACTTAAACGTTACAATGCATGTGTACACATACCGTTATTATTAAAACCACCGGTGTACAAACACCTCACTTAAACTTTGCACCGCATGTGTACACATACCGTTATCATTTAAACCACAGGTGTACAGACACCTCAATTAAACTTTACATTGCATGTGTACACATACTGCTATTATTAAAACCACAGGTGTACAAACACCTCACTTAAACTCTGCACCACATGTGTACACATACCGTTATCATTTAAACCACAGGTGTACAGACACCTCAATTAAACTTTACATTGCATGTGTACACATACCGTTATTATTAAAACCACAGGTGTACAAACACCTCACTCAAACTTTGCACCGCATGTGTACACATACCGTTATCATTTAAACCACAGGTGTACAGACACCTCAATTAAACTTTGCACCACATGTGTACACATACCGTTATTATTAAAACCACAGGTGTACAAACACCTCACTTAAACTTTGCACCGCATGTGTACACATATCGTTATCATTTAAACCACAGGTGTACAGACACCTCACTTAAACTTTGCACCGCATGTGTACACATACTGTTATCATTAAACCACAGGTGTACAAACACCTCACTTAAACTTTGCACCGCATGTGTACACATACCGTTATCATTTAAACCATAGGTGCACAAGTGCCTTATTTCCTTAAACTTTACACTGTAGACATACAAGCACCATTATTTTATTTAAACTCCAGTTAAGCAAGTACCTCTCCTCATTGTTTGTTGTTGAGCATAAGGCTAAAAAACTGGGCTGTTTTGTGTCGCAGGAGTAAAAGTGACACTCTTTCTTAAACTACAGATGAACAAAAAACGATATATTGAAGAAGTTACAAGTGTGAGCTGGGCCTAGTACTACTTCTTTAAGATGTAAAGTGTGTAACCCAGGCCATGTTACCCAGGCAATTTTCCGTAAACTAACCACTGACAAATCCTTCACGATAAAACACACTGAATGTGAATACAAATCAGTCGAGATTATAGTCGTTTATGAATTAATGCAAATGTAATTCCTTGCGACCACTTCCCAGTGTGACCACATTAAAAATTTATGTTACTAGTGCATTGGATAACATATCTCTTTTTTTTACTTTAGACACCAGTAAAAATAGTCGGAGTCGTGGCCGTCGTCATACTAACCCGTCTCCTGATCCTGACAATAACTTGGAGCGTGTGTTTGTGTGGGATCTAGACGAAACTATTATCATATTCCATTCTCTTCTCACTGGATCTTTTGCTACTCGTTATGGAAAGGTAAGAATATTTGTTTAAGTTTTAAAAACTCTTTTAATTTCTAGAAGTTGTTAAAAAAAGTAGAAATAATTTTATAATTCCATTTATTTGATTTTTTTTCAAATTTTGTAAAATAAAGCTAAAATACTCCGGAAATTATGTTTATGTGATTTTACAAAAAAGGCTGTATACAAAGTTATCTTAAATGTATCAATCCGCTGTGAGAAGCTTACATCTATGATGTACTTTTGAACCTTGAGATGGTAGTTTGGTAATTCTCTGTTTTTCTGCTTCTCTTATGTAACCAGACATCAACTAGGCACTTGATCCGGAAACCCATTCTGATGATCGCATTCTATTGGAAGATATTAAGCCGGACAATGTCTTATTAACGTAATTTAGTGTTTATTTATTCAAGAAGATAATAGGTGCTTTCTGCTTCTTTGTCGGTCAAATTAATATTAACTTCCGATTAGAGCAAGCTATGTGCTTAGAGCGAAACTAATACTCAACTTGGCAATCAGTATAGCTAGTTAAATACACAGTTATTGCATTTCTACTTATAAAAATTGGAATTCATTGTTTCCTCTGTTTGGTACGTAGGCCGCTAGCGACATTTTCGGCCGTAATACCATAAGAAGTTTCCATCTTGTAAAAAAGCAATAGGCCTTATATTTGAATTTAGGCGCTCAAGTTTCTTACAAAAGTGTGATATAAAATCTTACAATAATTTACCGACATTACACACACACACACACATATATATATATGTGTGTGTGTGTCTGTGTGTGTGTGTGTGTGTAGTAGCCTGATTATTTAGGAAAACAGTTTGTAGTTACTTATTATTACGTCACCGAAGGTGGACAGAAGTTATGTTTTCACCCCGTGTGTGTGTGTTTGTCAGCAAGATTTATCGAAAACGGCTGAATGGATTTAGATGAAAGTTGGACCATGACTCGACTTAGAAGTGATTAGTTTTTGCAGGGTCAAGGTCAAAGGTTAAGGTCATAACCAGGTCATGAAAATCCCCCCCTCCAAAATCCCTATCTCTTAAAATGGGGACCGATTTTTCACATTATTTTTGCTCTATAACTCAGTCTATAATGGAAACTTGGAAATATGTAGAATATTATTCCTCATTGTCCTGACAAAAATGGCCCGTGTCCGTTGTTAATGACGGACATATTTTCGTATTTTTTGAAAGCCGAATATGATCAACGCTGCGTATGCGCTCTACTAAATGCCCCTCTAGTATACATATGTTATGACTTGATTTAAATTTAAGCTTTAAATAGAAGTAAAATGTATTGAATTAAAAAGTTTTTAATTTTCTGTTTAAAAAGGTGTTTTTTTATCACGCTTTCTTTCTTCTCAGCTAAATTATAATTAATACAAGTCAAATGTTTCTTTTTATCCTGATTCAGTTTTTTCTTGCTCAAAATTGTTTCTTTTTCCCGTTTCCTTTTTTTTTGTTATGTTACACCGAGGCTGGTGAAATTACTTAGAACTAAACGTTTGAACGTACTATTATAACCGAGTACTTCTCTTTAATAACCAGCAGATGTACTCCCCTAAAACTGGTGAGCAGCGTACAACTAAACTTTTGAACGTACTTTATAACTGAGTACTTCATTTTGATAATCAGCAGGTGTATTGCTGATTATCTCCCTGAAATTGGTGAGCGGCCTAAAAACTAAACATCAGAATGTGCTATTATAACTGATTACTTCACTTTAATATCAGCAAGTGTACGTTTCTGAAACTGGTGAGCGGTCTAAAACTAAACATCTGAACGTGCTATTATAACTGATTACTTCATTTTAACAGCAAGCAGGTGTACGTTCGTGAAACTGGTGAGCGGTCTAAAACTGAACGTATGAACTTATTATAACTGTCAGTACTTCTCTTTGATATAACTGAACGACTGACTTTGATAGCCTGCAGTTGCTTGACCCTGAAGCTGGTAAAGTTACCTGCAACCTCAAAACACATGAACATACAATTAAAACTTAAGAAACACTTTGACAACCTGCAGCTGCATAAAGGGCACTGACTTACAAGAACTAAACGTTTAAACGCATTATATAAACTGAACAGTTCGTTTCGATGATCTACGGATGTAATGTGTTTAAAATGATAAAAACGTCTAAACATATTATTACAACTGTAGAATGGTGAGCAACCAAGTGTTCTGCAACAACTTAGCGTATGAATACTTTGCTTTAGCTGAATAGCACACTTTGATAACCTGTAGGTATATGACGCTAATTCTGATAAAATGGTCTATAAGAAGCTAACTTTAAAGTAAAGGGACTGTCGCTCATTGTATTACTCTTTTCTTGAAATTCACATCGGGTCATTGGGAGTGAAGCTTTATAAATTATGAACATTTCCCTGTTTTAAACGTCTTTTTATATTACCTTCCTCTCCGTTTACCTTGAGTGAATCTTCTTTACCTTACAAATACATTATCCAGGAAGAGTGGAAACTTTTATTAATATACGAGGTAATATTAACTGTTTGATAAAACGTGATTAGAAATCAAAGTCAAGAAAGATAATATGACAATTACGACAGGAAAAGTGCCAACAAAAGCAAATGAAAGTTAGTATTTAAAACATAAATCTTTTCCTGGTCATGTTGAAAAATAAATAAAGAGCAATATGAATTCTTTGTGATCGCGTTGGAACAAGAATTAGTCACTAGAACACCCTTTCCTGAGGACATGTAGAACAAAACATCACTTCAGCTTCAGCTCAACTTACATAGGAAAGCTTCAGTTACTTGTAACATGAATAAAACGTGCCCTATCATGTTCCTTCACGACTAGAACACCGTAGGAGTTGCCCACGTCACGTGAGAACCCAATCGATCACAAGAAATAAGTTGGCAGAAAGTTAAGATCGATTGTTAGAGTTCTCGATATTCTCAACATAACCAAAGCAAGCAGGAAATACAGCGAATGAAGAATGATTCATATGATAAACGTATATAACAACTGAACAGTTAACCAAAGAAGGAACGTACACAGTGTAACAGTTAACTATATCAGAAGGATAAGTAATAGTTTAGAAGCTAACCCAGCCAAGAAGATATACAGTAACTTAACTGTTAATTCAAACATATTGTTGGTGTGAACATGCTTTATAGTCGCTATAAAAAAACACCTATACACTGGATAGTTGAAGTGAAGAAAATGTGTCATTGGTCACTGTTCAGTTCTTCACATTATATAGCTACACAATAGCAGATATAATTAATAAATTTAGTATTAAGAAAATTGTTTAATCTCGAAGTCTTTCACAACGATATAGGTCCAGTTTATTTCTCTTTGGTTAACTTGTATCCAGGGCTACTGATAAGGAGTGGAATTCTCCGAAACTAGTAGAACCCAACAACACACTTTGATGAAAGTGTAAATTGAATTGGACCTCCCTTGAACTTAGACTTTGAAATAAAACAATTTTCGAAATACTAAGTTTATTTGTTATTAACTGTTAATTACAACAAATACTAATAACATCTTATTGACAAGGACGAAGATATACGCAACAACCTAACTGATAACCAAGGCCGGAATGTGTACAATAATTCAAAAGATAAACTACGCTAGTATTGTACAGAAAACTCAATAGTTAACTATGCCTGTAATGTAAACACAATAACTCCTAGGGGTTCTTAATACTAACAGTTTACCACGCCAGGATTATACACATCAACTCAATATTCTACTAAGCACTTAGCAAGGAAATGTTGACAAAAACTTAATAATTAATCATGTAGGAACATATATAACTTTTAAAGGATAATACCAGCTGACATAGTTTGCTGCAACAGTTAAACATTCCAATATTTTATCCGATAACTCAACAGTTAACCAAGCCAAGAACATACCCAACGCTTCAACAAGTAACTAAGTCTAAAATCCGCATCACAATTAAAGTTATTGAAAAAAAACAGAAAATATATACAACAACTTAATAAATAACGTTGTTAAAAACGCAGAGAATATATACAACAACTTAATAAATAACGTTGTTAAAAACGCAGAGAATATATACAACAACTTAATAAATAATGTTGTTAAAAAAAGCAGAAAATATTTACAACTCAACAAATAACTAATTTCACAATCCACATTACTATTAAAGTTCTTAAAAAAGCAGAAAACATATAAACCAACTCACCAATTAACTAAGTCAAGAATTCAAACTACAATTACAAAAAAAAAAGCTGAAAATATATACAAGAACTCAACAAATAACCAAGTCTAGAATTCGCCTCACAATTAAAGTTGTTAAAAAACAAAAAATGCAACAACGCAGCAAATAATGAATTTTAGAATCCAAACCACAATAGAGTATAAAATATACTGTTAAAGTTGTTAAAAAACAGGGGGTATATGGAAACAACAACTCAACAGATAATCGAACCAGGAATGCACACACAACATGCAGGAATACACAGAACATGAAAGTAGCACTGCTATTGATTATATTATAAGTAAAAAAAAAACTGCGATGGTTTTATTGTATTCAAAATTTACAGTAATTTCTGTACGCTGAATCTGAAAATGAGATCCGTTTTCTCCATCACGTACAGATTTTTCACAAAACGTCATAACGCAAAACATAAGAAAGACCACAACACGTAGTTTTGAGACTAAAAAATCAGGATGAATGAGGATGCATATTCGTTTGACATTAATGTTCTTCCCTTTTCTTCAGTTTGTTTGTATTTTTGTTAACAAACATAACAATACAAAATGTTCATTGTGGTAAACGAAATAATAATTTGATCTAAGTAAGTTTTTCTTCTTCCCGATTTGTAAAAAGTCCTTACGTGATAGAAAAAAATGTTATTTTCGAAATCTGCGTAGCTGAATAATGGAAAATCAGTTATTAAAACCAAAACAACTTTTATGAAGTTTAAATTCGCAGGCCTGTGTAATCCTTTGCAAAAACATTTTGTGTATTTCTTTCTTGTTTGTTTGATAGGATCTATAGAAATTAACCCCTTCATTTAAATCCTAATTATCATGGGTTGTTATGGATATTAATCGCATTTTGGAAAATGAATGGTATAATTGAGTGTGGAAGTTAACTTTTGTTTCTATAGTATATTTTTACAATCCTATTTTCGGTGTTTCTCTTTACTACTTTCTCCAGTGTTTGTTATTTAAATTTCATGACAGATATTAGTGGAAGTTTATACATTTCCATTTACCAACTGTTATGTATATGTAAGAGAGGTTCGCACAGATTACTGCATCTTTAGCCCCTAGTACGTAATAATAATAAAGATTATTGTTGTGATTGTTTTCTCATTTTTATTTCATTGTTTATTGCGTATATAAAACTTTGTTTTGTGGTTTGGTACGCACCAAATCATCATTTCCATAAAGATAGCTAATACGTCACAATCTCTTGTCAAGTCTATAATGACATAGACACTTCTGATGGCAGTAAGCCTGAACTACTGGAGCGTAGAATTCCAGGAACGGGGGTGTCATGTTACACCCGGGGTGGAGCTCAAGTTACTCGAGTGGCCTTCGCTGAAACTACGGCCATTATAGCTGCTGACGGCGCTTTATGTTGTGTGAGCTGCATCTAGGAGCCACTGCAGAAACCACTTCAGTGTGTACGCTGCTACAAATCTGCAGAAACCCAGAAAAAAGTATTGAAAAGTCTGACTCGTACTCCCAGATGGTTATTAATACAATGTTAGTACTTTGTAATAGCAGAGTGCGCGTTTTCTGTGGAAGAAGTATCATCCAGCATATATAACGGCCTGTCTCTTTTTAGCTGGTTACATTGAAACAAAATCATGATTTTTATAATTAATTACGAAAACAAAAAACACCTTTTTCTGTGATAACTTCATCAGCTAGTACAATAAATTTCGCTAGCTACTGTCTTCCTATACCCAACGTTAACAGTCAGTGTTACTGTATCATATTCCCAGATGGTTACACTAAAACAACGCTATTAATTGTAATTATTTAGAATAGAATAATTTTTACCCCCTGCAGCGTTATGCAATCGCTGCTAATGTTTCTATAAAGTTAAATAATCAGTTTTATTGATATTTAAACAGTGAATGAACTCTCAAGTTCACTCTAAAACCATTATTTGATAAAACTCTGTGTGCGTGTCTGCTTATAACTGGCGAATCGCTGGACCGATTGCCACCAAATCTGGCATGTACCCTAAGGACCCTCGGAGAGGTGAAAATACAGGGTAGAGGAGATCAGCGCTCAGTTTTGTCATCCCAGTGTCTTCCCCATGCATTGGATGCGTGCGTCAGCTAGTATCCATTTAATACGTTTTTGCACAAACATAAAATATTCCTTGCCACCGTTTTCCTAACGCTATTTATCAATGTGAAAGTTGATAGTAGTTATACAAATATAGTGTATTTTAATATAGAGTGTTTTCATAACTTATTTTTGAACAGTTTATTCGTAATTAAGTATGCGATGTAAAAACTACATAACTTCGTATCTATAGAGAATGACCTAAATGTCTCAACAGAGTATACTTGTTAATGAAAAAAAAGGACACGGTTATAAAATGATAACTGAAAAAATAAAATCCAGGTCACTGTGTGTACCACTACTGTTACATTCCGTTTCTTTCTTCTTTTTTTTTTACTCTTTAATAAATTGAACCTTAAACGAAACTGATATTATTCACTCGAAGATGCTGGTACTAATTAATTTGTTTTTCAGTGAAATTTTATCAAACTGTATAATTCATCTTTTGATGGTAAGGTCAGTGCAGCGTAACTCACAGCTTTTCTGACATATATATTAAAGATAATGGCAAAATATCCCTATAAATTTTATCTCCATTCAAGCGTTATTTGTAATTAATATCACTAATGTATTGCCATCTGGTGCTAAAAATGAGAAGTTAATTTTGTTTATAATTTGTTTTCATGAATTTGATTTTCTGTTAGTAATTAAGTATATGTATCTTAATGAGTTATGATATAAAATTAATATAAATACAAATTTAATTGATTCATTTAAATACGAATATTTATCTTATAATATTTGTGAAATTTGGTATAATTATATACACAATTAAAGCTGGCTCCAACTTTTTTTTTTAAAAAAGAATAACAATTTGATTTTCTGTTATTAATTAAGTATATGTATCTTAATGAGTTATGATATAAAATTAAGATAAATAAAAATTTAATTGATTCATTTAAATACAAATAAGTATCTTATAATATTTGTGCCCCCAAGTGGCACAGCGGTATGTTTCGATACCCGTGGTGGGCAGAGCACTGATAGCCCACTGTGTAGCTTTGTGCTTAACTTCAAAAGAAAAAAATATATATATAATGTTTGTGACATTTGGTATAATTATATACATAATTAAAGCTGGCTCCAACATTAAAAAAACATTTCCTGGAGTAGAAATACTTCATAAGAGATAATTCCAATAAGTACTGTATCAGCAAAAGAAGAAGAAATAGCGCATTTATACTATACAAGCAATCTAAAATGTTTCAAACCCTTGAATGAAATGACTCAAAAATTCACTTAACCGGCAGAGTCAGTAAATATTTATGACAAGTGCATTATTTTTATCAATATAACAATCTAACTGGGCCTAAATAAATAAGAATTTTTTTAACTTTACAAAAATTTCAAGTTTGTACATTAAATTTAATTTATTTTGACAGGATGCCCCCACAGCTGTTGCTTTAGGCTTAAGAATGGAAGAAATGATTTTCAATTTAGCTGATACCCATTTCTTCTTTAATGACTTAGAGGTGAGTGGAATTATAAAAAAATATATTATTATTTTTATAGGAAAGGTATCATATTATACACTGCCTGACCAAAAAATTAGAAACCCTGTTCTACTAGTGTGTTGGAGTCCTCCGGTGGGTCAGCGATAAATGCTAAAATACATGGTTCGATTCCCCAAGATGAACGGAGTGAAGATAGCCCATTGTGAAGTTTTGCGCTAAACAAAAACATCAACAGCTTGTTGAAGCACTGTGCGTGTAATCGCAGTCTGAATACGTCGTGACATAGACACCACTAGTTTTTGGATTACACCATATTTGATTCATTCATTCCTCAAGCAATATCGTTCCTAAATCTTTAAGGAGCTAAGATAAAGGAACAGGTACTCCATCAACATCCTTAAGGAACTAATGCAAATGAGTAGGTGCTTTCATAACATCCTCCAGTAATAGTGATGATTCTCAGTTGGTTTCCAATCTGGGGATTATGGTGGCAGCGAAGCGATGGAACTTCTCTTTATGCTCTTTAATGATTGGTTTAATCACGAACAATACTGGCATAGTGGATTGTGGCATTGTCGCCTTAAAGATATTCATAGCATTGGGGACAAAAATTGAACATAAGAGGGCGCAATTAATCTCTGAAAATGCTTAGATATATATATACGCAAGATGTAATGCCATCATTCAGAGAGAGAATGAGGAATCCAGTTCGTGTCATGAAAATGCATTACACATCATTACTCCACGTCCAGCAACAGAAAAATAACACACGATGGCAAACTTTGAACCTTACATTTGTACAGTATAACGTGTATCGAGAATTATTTGACCACATCACTAATTTCCACTGGTCAACAGTCCAATCCTGATTTTCTATGCAACACTAGAAGCACATCTTTCTGTTGGCAGCTGAGACAAGATTGAGGAAGCAAACGTTACCTGGGTTTAAGTGTATGCGAGATCTGAACATGGTTTTCCTATGGGGATCAGGGGTATAGCTTCCAGAAAATATGGCATTAATTGACTTCAAATGGAGAAATTCCTAAACTGTACATGGTGAAACGTGTATTTCAGCTTTAAAATTATTAACGGGTATTAACCTAACCCCACCGAGAGTAGACCTCTTGATGATGGTGGTGGGGAGGGTGAATCCTCCCCTGCAACCACAAGAGATTTGCAAACTGAAGAACGATTATCGAAATTTATTTGTTGAAGCTCCTTGCGCATCTTTCTTGTTGAAATGACAAGAAATTGTTTCTAGTCCATAATTGATGTCATCTCTGAAGTGCTGTATTGTTAAATGCCAACTGATCTTCCCAACCCTTACTAACTGCCTTTTATCCCTTTCTCGGAGCATTTCTTCCTCCACATTTTTCCTGCTTGATTTTTGTTAAGATTTTTACACTACTGTGTAGATTCCTGAGAAGGTCGCCTTCAATACCTCGATCAGTTCCTTTGTTTATGTTATCGAGGCCCTAGCTAATCGGACCCCAACAATAATGAAACCTTTCTCGTTAGATACATCCTTAACCATCCCCATCTTAATAAAAACTGAGACACAAAAACCAACTTACATTATGTATAGTGGTACAGTAGCAAAATGGGGTTTTTAATTTTTGGAGGAGTAGATTAGGTTAGCAAACAACAAAAAAAGAGATTAGTAATTTTAAAGCCACCATTAAAAAGAAAACACATTATAAATAGTTTGTACAAATAATTGTAATGTTATTAATGTTATGTTGAATATAGTTTGGTGTTTCAAACTTTTACAGGAGTGTGACCAAGTCCACATTGATGATGTTTCGACGGATGACAATGGCTTGGACTTGAGGTACTCCATTACTTGTTCACATTCCTTGAATTCAACAATGATGATACCAGCCTTAATAAACTGTTACTTTTATTCTTCGATAAGATAATGTTTATGAAGTAATATCGGTTTTAATATAGTTATTGTTCGTAAAATCATTCTATTCTACGATCAGTTAAGTTTCAATGGATAAATTATTGTTTTGTTTTATACAATAAAACTGGTGTCACTGAATTCAATCTTTTAGCCACAAAGAAAATAAATTTTTATTTAGTTTTATTTCTGCTTTATGATTAAATAAAATACCAAGCACAGTAGAAATTACGTTTTATGAGAAGTCAAGTCAAGACGACTACTAAACAATGTAAGGTGAAACACACAGTTAATGAAGTGTTACATAAGAAACTTAAAACACAATTTATAAAGATAGATATATATATATAGAGAGAGAGGAAGATTACAAAATTACAGTTTTGTACAACACAAATATGTGTGTGTTCTTCTTACTTTGGAGACTCCAAGTGTTCGTTTCTGTACAGCAACTACAACTTCCAAGCAGATGGGTTCCACTCAGCTGCCACAAATACCAGCCTTTGTCTTGCCACAGGTGTGAGAGGAGGCGTGGATTGGATGAGAAAACTAGCGTTTCGCTATCGGAAAATCAAAGAAATCTACAATCAGTACCGAAACTCAATTGGAGGTAAGACTAGATTTTCCCTCAATAGACAGTCATCCTTCAAAATAAGTCTAAAACACGTTGAAAGATTGCCTTATATAAACGTATAGTTCCCAACATTGTATAGATGTGTATGCTAGCATAGTACTAGAGTTGTTTAAGTACTTGGTATCATTTTACAGTTACGTGAGTGTAAACAGGTATAGTTCTAACATTATATAAATGTGTACCAACATATTATTAGCATTGTTTAAGTATCCGTGGTATCACTCTGGCATTATGCCACTGTGAGTGTAAACAGGTATAGTTCTAGCATTGTATAACTGTGTAATAGCATATTACCAGCGTTGTTTAAATATCTGTGGTATCCCTCTAATGTTATGTCACTGTGAATGACACAGTTCTAAAGTTTTATATGTGTGTCCGATTATGTGAGTGTGTGCTTTCTAATACTGTGTAGCAATGTGTTGCATAGTTCTAGGACATAGAACTGTGAGTGATATAGGTTGTCCTTTGACTATATGTAATATAGACGTAGCATTTTTCTAAATATATGTGAGACGTTGAAAGTGTAGTATTCTTTGATATATATAGTTTTAGAGTTGTATGACTGCGTTTGGTATTGTTGTAGGATTGTATAACTGTGTGGGATATAATATTAGTATTGTATAGCTGTGTGGGATATAATATTAGTATTGTATAACTGTGTGGGATATAATATTAGTATTGTATAACAGTGTGGGATATAATATTAGTATTGAATAACTGTGTGGGATATAATATTAGTATTGTATAACTGTGTGGGATATAATATTAGTATTGTATAACTGTGTGGGATATAATATTAGTATTGTATAACAGTGTGGGATATAATATTAGTATTGTATAACTGTGTGGGATATAATATTAGTATTGTATAACTGTGTGGGATATAATATTAGTATTTTATAACTCTGTGGGATATAATATTAGTATTGAATAACGATGTGTGGTATCGTTACATTACTGTGTGATGTGCAGTTTTATTTTTGTAACCATCTGTGGTATTGTAAGACTGAGTAAGGCATAGCTCTAGCGTTGTATTGCTCTAGGTTGTAAAACCGTGTGTGTGGTAAAGATTTAGTGTTTTATAAGTTAGCAATACATGGCAATGATATTTTATCTCCGTAGGTATATATAGTTGTCTGTGTGACGACTAATTCTAGGTTGTCTGTGAGCGGTATAGGTTTATCATTATACAATAGAACTGGTGTGTTTTATAGCTGTATAAGTTTTTGAGATATACGTCAAGAATGTTATAACGGTGGGTGTTACAGTTTTAGGTTGTAAAAAAGATAAGGACTAATATTGTACAATTGTGTTTATTATATCTGCAGCGTTATAGGACTCCGTAAGATATATTTTTTGGTAACGTATAAATCTGTGTGATGTATAGCTTTGTGCACATGTCAGTGCATAGGTCTAGCATCGAGAAATATGTGTGACATATTCATACCATTGTATAATTGCGTGACCTATAGGTCTTGATTGTGAGGTATAATTTTTGGCATTGTATAACTATGTGCGTCATGGGTCAAGCATTGTCGAGCTTTGTGATATAGGTTATAGAATTAGTATTGTAGCATTGTATAAGTGTGTGGGGTATAATATTAGTATTATATGATCATTAGCTGTATAATGTGTACGGGGTGTGTAGTTGTGTGAGTCCGGGGAAGCTTACTAGGTTCCGGGTTCCAGAAGCAATACGCCATTAAACACACTCAGTACTTTCAGATGTGAAGACATATAACTTGAACAGTCATTTTCGCTGTTAGGCTAACCTGTTCCTCTAAGATATGTTTGAACCTTAGCACTTCTGACCTGGTTACTTAGTCCGTGTGTCGCATGTGGTACCGTTCAGGTTGAAAGTAACAACAAACAATTGTGTGTGTCAAGTTCAAAATATTGTACATTTGTGAAACATAAGTTTAACGTTACATATCTGTATGTCACAGAACTCTAGTTTGTGTGTAACATAGATCTAGTATACTATAATCCTCTTTGGCATAGTTCTAACATCATAAAATTAATTGGCATGGCTATAGCATTGTGAAGCTGTGTGATAAAGCTGTAGCATTAAGAATTTGTTTTGTGTGCTTCTACCATTGTGAAGCTGTGTGATAAAGCTGTAGCATTAAGAATTTATTTTGTGTGCTTCTACCATTGTGAAACTGTGAAGCACATTTTTAACATTGTTAAGCTGTGTGCTTTAGCTCTACAATTGTAAAACTGTTTGGAATAGTTCTAGTATCGTGAAACTGTCTGGTGTAGCTCTAGCATTGTGAAACTATGTGGTTTAGCTCTAGATATGTAAAAGTGTATGGTATAGTTACAGCATTATGAAATTGTGTGTTATAGTTCTAGCATTATAAAACTGCCTTGTATAGTTCTAGCATTATAGAACTGTCTTGTATAGTTCTAGCATAGTGAATCTGCACAGTACAATTCTAGAATTACGAATCTATTCGGTATGGTCTTAATATTACCTTTCTGAAACTGTGTGGTATAGTTCTACCAATGGGAAAAGATGTTGTGTATAGTATGACACTGTATCGTATACTTCAATAACTGTGAAACTGTATGATGTAATTCTATCCTTGGGAAACTGTATGGCATGGTTCTAGCCTTGTGAAGCGGTTTGGTGTAGTTTAGTATCGTGGAACTTCGTGGTATATCTCTAGTTTTGTGAAACTTTAAGGTATAATTGTAACATAGTGAAATTGTGTGGTATAGTATTAACATTATGAAACTGTATGGTATAGTTTTAGCAATGTGAAACTGTGTGATATTGTTTTAGTCTTTTGAAACTGTGCGATATAGTTCTATCATTTTTCTAGTATTTCGAAACTCTGTGGTATAATCTATAGCCCTGTCAAATTATGTGGTGTACTATTATATAGATCTTACATATAGTGTTAACATAGCAAAACTGTGGTATGTTTCTAGATTGTACATAGATCTGACATATAGTGTTAACATTGTATGACTGTGATATGTTTCTGGATTGTATGTCGATGTTACATGGTGTTAACATTGTAAAACCGTGGTATATTTTTGGATTATATATCGATTTGATATATAGTGTTTACATTGTATAATTAGTAATTTTGGCGTAGTAACTGTATTTATCTCGTGTAGTTTTGTGTTGTGTAACTGTAGAACATGTAAGTTTAGCGTTGTATAATGTTTTCGGTATAGTTCTAGGCTGTACAAATGTGTATGATTCTAGGTTATATAACAGGTATTACTGTAGCTTATTTAACTGTGTCTGGTATAGTTCAAGGATGTATTACTACCTGAGGTATCCCAATATAGTTTTATTTTGTACATTTGTGAGAAACATAGTTCTAGGTTGTTTAAATGTTTGAAGTATAACACAGATGTTTAAAGAAAAATTCAACGTTTGAAGATACACAACAAATATTTTAAAATTAGACCATCACTAGTCTCAAAATACAAGATTTTTTTTATTACTTAATTACTTACAGTATACGGATACAATATCGTGAGACTGGGAACAATTTCATGCATTCTATGTGTTGCGACGACAGGTATGTTTGAGAGCAAAACCACATTGCTCTATCTGCTGTCCACCACGAACCCAGAATTTGAGTGTTTTAAGTCAGTAGAGTTACCGCTGTTCCACCGGGGTAATCATTAGCAGGAGTGCAATATTTTGCAATATTTAAGACCCATGTATGCATTTCTTCAAAACAATAACAAAAACAAAGCACATGATCAAATTTACATTAAAAATTTAATTCAAAGAAGTTCATTTCACTCTGGTCCTCCATTTTTATTTGTTTGTTTGTTTGTGTTTGAATTTAGCGCAAAGCTACACGAGGGCTATCTGCGCTAGCCATCCCTAATTTAGCAGTGTAAGACTAGAGGGAAGGCAGCTAGTCATCACCACCCACCGCCAACTCTTGGGCTACTCTTTTACCAACGAATAGTGGGATTGACCGTCACATTATAACGCCACCACGGCTGAAAGGGCGAGCATATTTGGTGTGACCCTCAGATTGCGAGTCGACTGCCTTAACCACCTGGCCATACCATATCTATTTAATAACTTAAGATTATTTATATTACATTGGATTACTTCAATGATTTTACGGATGTTATTACCATTGATGCTCACGGGTTGTGCCAAAACAACAGTTTTTTTTCCATTGAGTCATGTTCAGCTAAAGACGAGATCTTTGAATTATTATTTTCAAAATTTCTTTTATATTAATTTATTCTGTATTTCAAATTTCTTTTAGTTTGTCTTATATAAATGCTCACATACATGATATTTTGTATATACCAGTTTTTTCTCCATTGAAACAATTTTATTTTTAGTTATACTAAGAATTTGGCTAACCTTGTTCAACGGTCTGTACATCGATAAGATATTTTGATATTGTTTTGTAGATAGTTACAGTATTTGACAAGATAAACCAGGTATAAATGGTAATACAAGCCCTTTTTTCTTATTTTTTTCAGTAAGTGGTTTTAACGGTAAGTGGTTTTTAATATTTTATCGCATTTTTATTTCTGGATAGCTCTGTTAAGAATATCAGGATTAAAACCTCATTCTGCTGCTTCTTGATTAATAATAACTTGTTGTTAATATCTTCCTGTGTACAACATAATTTTAAAATTCTACCCACATAATAATAAAAAGTACTGATTTTTTTTTAGAATTAGTGTGACATAATTTTTAATGTGGAAACGAGATTACTTAGACTGGTTTTTTGATAAACATCAGTTTCCAATTTATCCTTATTTTTTCTTACTAAAACATCCAAAAAAGTAAAAAGTTGTTAGGACAGTTAGAGAAATCCATTAAATTCTCTTTGCCATGCAGCCATATCAAAAACGTTTTGCCAACTTACCTTAGCCAAATTTCCTGTTTCTTTTCCACTTTTTTTAACTCTTCAGTTTCAAAACTGTCCATGAACGGATCATGTAATAATGGAAATAATTGAGGACTCATATTAAACTTTTTTTTTATATAAACTTTACATTTAATCTGAAAATAATTTATTTTTAATACATGTTTCTAAAAGTTTAATCGTATCAATTACTTCTAAAGCTGAATTTTTATTTTCTTTTAACTTATCCTAAAATCATGTAATGGCTTTTTCCACAAATACTTCAGTGAATAATGAAACAACATCGAAAGACACTAAAATATCATCCTTGTCTAGTGTTACATGTTTAATTCTTTCAACAAACTCTAACGAATTCTTTACGGTGTATTTATTTTTATCCTTTAAAAACGAAAATATTTTCGATATGAATTTTGCTACATTATATTTGGGACTCTTAATATCAAATATGATTGGTCTAAAATTGGTTCCACTTTTATGATATATTTTTTTACAGCAAATTATCAAGTAAAACAATATTCTTATTGTGTTTTTAAATATTTATTGTGTATCATAAAATTAAAAAAACATCTGTGTTATTTTAAATTTACACAATTATCATCTTATCATTAATGGCTGAAGTATAGTTTTAGATTGTATATTTATGGTGAAACATAATTCTAGGTCTTTTAACTGGCTGAGATATTGTTCTAGATTGTATTTGTACGTGACGTATCCTGGTATAATTCTAATTTGTATAACTGTGTGGGATGTAGTTCAAGGTCGTTTAATTGGCTCAAGTGTTGTTTTATCTGTATTTATCTCTAGAAGAAAAGTTTTAGATTGTACAATGTGTGAAGTGCTAACTGCGTTAAGTTTATTTTTAGGGCTTTTAGGTCCTGGCAAGCGAGACCAATGGGTTCAGCTACGAACTGAAATAGAAAGCTTTACAGATTCTTGGATGACATTGGCTTTGAAATGTCTTTCCGTGATTCACTCCAGGTAATACTGTAGATCATAAATCAGTTTGGTGCTATCTTGATTGCAGATATTGCCACCAGTACTTACATTCTACGCTCTTGGTTTTAGTAATATCATTTCACGCACTGAGCTACTACCAACATAATGCAACATCTTCTTAGTGCTAAAGTCATACACTCGAAGTGTTAGCAACATTGTATTTTGTCCGCTAGGTGTTACTTACATAATATAATATTTTCTATCTTATACTTCTGGCATCACAACATTTCATCAAAACATTATCAAAATTATGTTATAAGATTTAAATATTATCAATATCATTATTATCAAGATAATGCCGTAGATTGCGATATCATAGACAAAGCAATAGAATATATATCGTTTATATGCTAGAATTGCTCTACACAAATTCAGGGATACATATAGTTGAAGCAACACTAGATGGCAGCACAATAAAAGAGATCCATTCTTCAATAAAAACATTCTTCTCGTGCGCTGCAAATGCTTTCAACGGTACAGAATTTAACCAACGTTGTTTTAAACGCGTTCCATTCTCCACTTTACAACAGATTTTATCAATAAAAGTTCATTGATGTTAAAGAAAACAAAGAAGCATTATCTTACTACAAAGAAAATTATTCGTCAATGACATCATGAGAATTAATAATGACATTTAATTGTAACATTTTTATCGAAATATTTTCTTGAATTTCTACCCGTGCAACTTTTGTGGTTTAAAATTTGTCTTGTGCAGATAGAAGTCTAGAATGTTTTTTCTATATTTTTGTTTTTCGAAATATAGGCAGTATTGGCCGAAAGTATGAGTCCAAGGTACCAACACCCAAGGTCTCATGAAAGGTTGTAAAAGAAAAGTTTTGGTTTAATTTATATGTTACATTTATATTCTATATTATAATATTAGACATATAAAGTTCAATTTGAAACATCATAGGCTGAATAATCAGTACTTAGTAGATCCTTGTGTAACGTGATGATATAATCACACATTGAGGCTAAGTTGTTTTAGGCTATCAACGGTATTTCATTCCATGTTTGTTGCAAAATAACCCAAAGTTACTGTAAAGTAGTTGTTTTATTTTTCAACCGAATTAGTACTTTCATTACTTTGATATCGCGAACTCTTTTCTTCTTCAAACACCTTTTACTCTGAAGTGCACAATATTCTGAATCTTTATACTACTTACATTCAAAGCCAGAGTTAGTTAAGTGTCCATGTAATATTCCGTGACGAAGCAGAATCTTGTCCTTTCTTCATAAAACCATCATGTTTTTACAATACTTCTCACTTTTACCAAAAAGTACCCTCCAAAGCGTTCAAGATTCATCACCATCTTTCTCACTTTTCATAGTCACGTCTTTGTACAAGAACTATTCTCTTTACTAAAAGCTTAGTCTTTTTTCGCCACTCCGTATCATGTTGTTCCATTCGTTCTTTCAGCTTTTGTGATCCTTTCTAAGATTAACCAGGTTCACGCGTGAAATAGTAGGCTTTTTGACTGCAATCTATTCATGTATAACACTTTATCGCAACCGACTTCTAACACTTTTATTGGATTCCAACTCCATTGATATTCTGTTTTTATTTCAAATAGCACCATTTTTTGGTTGTTAGCTTTGTACATGTGCTCATGTACACGCTTTCTAAGCACAAACAATAATTTTCACACGTTAATGTTGTCACATGTTTAGTTGAAAGCTTCATATAAGACGTCAGATCACTCTGTTTGACATCTTTCTTTTCATCTTTGCGTTAGCACTCCGGTACTCTTCAGTTATAAAAACCGGTTATGCTATGCTCTTCCTGTTTATAAAGATCCCGTTATCCTGGAGCAAGTACAAGTTTATTCTGCTTACTTATCCAGGAGTGAATGGCAATAGTTTTGCTTTAGTGTTATTTACTTCTCTAAATCAGTACATACGTTTTGAGTATAACTGTGTCACGCTTGGTAAGAGTTATTCAATTCAGATTTCCAAACGTTCTGTAACATTACAGAAACGATGGTGCAAATACAGTCAAGAACACATTTTATGATTAATTTCATAATATAACTTGTGATATTTCAAAATTATTCGTGAAATTTAGCATTTCTCTGTAATCCATTTCTTCGAAAAAAGCAAAACCTTCTGAATAATATAAATTTTGTGAGTATTGAGTGATATATAAACGAGATAACGATATCAATTAGATATATAAACTAGACGAGTTTATGAAATTATTCTCAACCTGTATCCCTGAGCACTACCTAAGTTTCACAAGTTTCCGGATCGTTGAAATATGTAATATTTGAAACGTCTTTTAATATGTGCATATTTAAATGTTTTTTTTTTGTTTTTTTTTTAAAGCTAACGCACTGTTCTCTTCTATTCATGCTTACATGTAACACCTCCTCACAGAAACAACTGTGTCAACGTTCTAGTAACGACTACTCAGTTGGTACCTGCACTGGCCAAGGTTCTTTTATATGGACTAGGAGGCGTGTTCCCGATAGAAAACATTTACAGTGCTACAAAAATAGGTAGGAGAGGAATTTCAGTTTTTATGTTATAGAAATATTGCATTTTACACAATGGTATTTTTTTTATTTACTCTGTCTAAAGGTATTGCAGCAACTTATTGATAATAATTTTCTGATGGTGAATTGGGTATCGATATCCCCATTTTTCAAAACTTCGGTATTTATTCATTTTAGTATGATACATAGGATTAGCGATTATGAACATGGTATTATACACATGACGTTTACTTCACGTTGCAAATTTTAGGAACCCATGGTTCAGTTTAAATAGGCAAAACCTCCATAGTGGAAGGAACTCAGCTGTTAAAAGTGTCAAAATTCGTTTGAGTCACTCTCCAGAAGCCCTGTAATCTACCCATTAGATTGAATCTCTGTTTAGTGATCTCTAAACATAAGTTATAGCTTTATTCAGGAGATACATCATTACTATATTGAGCTTCTGGACAAAATAGACATTGTTGATGTATGGAGCTTCTAGTTGGAACAGATATTGCTCATGTATGGAGCTTTTAGTGGGGAAATATATTATTGATGTATGGAGCTTCTAATTGGAACAGGTATTGCTTATGTATGGAGCTTTTAGTTGGGAAAGATATTATTGATGTATGGAGCTTTTAGTGGGGAAAGCTACTGTTGATGTATGGAGCTTCTTGTTGAAACAATATTGTTGACACATGGAACTTTGCAGATACTGTTAATGTTTGAAGCTTCTGGACAAAACACATGCTCATTTATCTAAAATTACTTTCAAAAGACAAGGTTAATAGATTGAATTTATGTAATGTTGATGTATTGAACTTCTAGTTTGGACAGATATTATTTATGTATGGAGTATTTAGTTAGATAGATATTGTTAACATATGAAGCTTCGAATTACAACACACATTGTTGATATATATGTATTTTTTCTCTTTGGTTAAAAGAAATATTGATAATGTATTGAACTTCTAATTAGAATAGATACTGTTGATGTTAACCACATGGTGTTAAAGTTTGTAGCTCTTAAGAAAGGAAAGCTGTTTTAAAAAGTATGTGTTGTTCTATGAAAGAAAAGCTGTTTTAAAAAGTATGTTTTTAAAACAGCTTTCCTTTCTAGAACAACACAAAACAGCTTTCCTTTCCTAGAACAACACATACTGAGAGAATTAACTCAAGGTATGGCAGGAAATGCACTTATGTTGTTGTTGGAGATGGCAGAGATGAAGAATCAGCAGCCAAACAGGTCAGTGAAACCTTTATTTAAATGTCTAGAAATGGTATATTGGTTTCTGATAGAAAAATGACTATTGTTCATGACTATTTGTGTCTAATAAATTTTGACACCATAGCATAATAAACTGCACTAAGATATGTAAATCACAAGGAAGGTGTGTTTACTTCATTAAAACCTCATTTCTTTTATTTCACGAGAACAGTTTTCCAGGAGAATATCATGAGAAATAGCTGACTGTTTAAAATGCCTATCCTGTAAATTTGTTTTATGTCACTGTTGTAGTAATTAGTTCAAATATTTAGTTAATTTTAGTTAATAAACTAAAATGTCAATAATATATTGTAAATAATCAACTGATCCAAAATACAAAAAATGAACAACAAAAGTTAATCCACTACTACTCAATAAATTGTCAGTATTACTTCGACAATAACTACGTAATGATATATACTAGTTATTCAGCTAACTCACACTAATTTACAAATCATTACAGTACAAGTTATGGCAAATGAAAAATGATTGTCATATGAATGAAATATTAGAAATAACTCTATTTTTGAAATTCCGCAGAAGGTTTTGTTCATTGTACAGAGTAAAGTATTTGTTTATTTTGTTCACAACGTTTCACCAGGTTTACCTGGCATCTTCAGATGAGATGCAAGAAATGAGGCTAACAGAAATTAATTCAAAATAGGAGAATCATGTGAGTATCTTTAACAATAATAATCTGCAAGACACGTGATTCATTAATTGCAAACTTGATAAAGTATTTATCAATGAACTGTCAAATATATAAATAAAGCTTTAAGGGCTGAACCTAAGTATTGTTTTATTGTTTTTATTTAAACACAAAGTTACACAATGGGCTATCTGTGCTCTGCCCACCACGGGTATCAAAACCCGGTTTCTAGTGTTCTAAAGCTGCAGACATACCGCTGTGCTACTGGGTGGCCCTAACGATTGAAATTTGTTCTATAAACAAGAGAGAGAGATTTGTATTTGATAAGAAAATGGTTTTGTTTTTTATTAACGGGACTTCTTTTATTTTTCGTCTGTTAATGTTATCTTTTATACTGAGGGTTTTTACCTTATAATAATTTAAAGAATGATTGTTCCTCAACATATGTTCAAAAACATGGGATGGAGAATTTAAATATTTCCACAAACGAGTATAAAGGTGTCTCTTTGTCTCATCAGTATAACAGCGTTTACAATCTATACATTCTTTTGCACACTCTTCCAGAAGTATCATTGTCTATATACTTTTTGGATAACATTTAACCTAGTTTTTTCCCAGGTAGAAATGTAAATTTTACTGTATTTAAACAAGATTCTTTTGCTAGCAAGAGAGAACTCTGAGATTAACGGTAAAATAAAATAAATAGGGATATCTACAGAAGGTTCATTTTCGATGTTAATTTGTAGCTTATTTTCAAAGGAATCAATTACTTGATCAACAACAGAGGGAGCGAAATTGTTTTGTACACAAAACTGAAATCTATGGTTGGCATTTACTTTTTTTTTCTAAGTAGAGGTTGGAACTTATGATTTGATTTGCACAAACAGCAGTTTGTAATGTACCCAACTTTTGACATTGGTCATGAATATAATTTCAAGGAATATAAAGACTATTGTGAATGTTCTTATGAAATACAGATTTAGAAGTCAGTGTTTGTCTTTATAACAGGAATATTTAGAAGTGACGATTGCCATCAACTTCTTTTTCCATCGTGAATTTTATATTTGGATGTATCTGGTCTAGATTAGAGAAAAAGTCATAAACTATGTCAAGATTATCAAAAGCTGAAAAAAAAATGTCATCAACATACCGAAACAAAAACATTGATTTGCAAAGTGAATTTAAGATGGCCATTTCTTCAATTTTTATCATGAATACATTGGCAAGTACTGGGGCTGCTGAATTTCTCATTCTTAGGTCTTTAACTTGGATATAATTTACATCATAAAACTGGAAATTGGAAGATCTAACTTCAAAGAAAGAGAAGATAACATTAACTGATGCAAGATAAAAGAAGCCCTGTTAGTAAAGTAAAACAGAATCCTATACTTAACAAATACAAGGGTGTCAATTTATATCTATTTTAATCGCTCTCTCTCTCTCTCTTGTAAACTGAATGGTCACAAGTAAATAGACACCTAATGTTTCGTCATTTAACTGATTTATACTAACTAATTTGTGTTCACAGAGCACTATATAAATGAAAATGGTCCGCACACCTAATTATATTGTGCTACAACATACCTAGAACTCAAGGTTCTTTCGAATC